TTATTGAAATTAGGCTTCTATTAATATAGCATTTTTTTGGACCAATAGAAGAGATCTTGCGTGTAATTCTTTGAAAATAATTGTATTCATACAATCATACTTTTAAGTAGTAATGTGCGATACAATAGTTCATATTAACCTAACAATTGAGGCTAATTTGAAGCTATTACCATGATATTATCTAAAACTAGTGTCGTTATTGATACATCGTGAGTTAAAGTTGAGTTAGATTTTGAATATGAAATAATAACAATTAATCATTTTTACACATTATATCAAATTTAATTTACTATTCATCCACTCAGATAATCTATGTATATATATAATTACTGGCAAGTCATGAAATAAAACCTAATAAATTTTACCTATGTGGTGTATTTCCTTCAATATCCGCTACAATCTATTATTATTATTATTATTGTTATTGTTATTGTTATTATTATTATTATTATTGTTATTATTATTATTATTATTATTATTATTATTATNTACATTTTACATTAATTGAGTAATAATTATATTTTTTTTGTATCATTTAATACTTATTATTCAAATTAATAATTATAATTTACACTAAATGATATATGAAAATTACATAAAAATAAAAAGTAATTGTTATTCAAGTTATTTATATAAACAGTAATATTATAGATTTTTATCTGATTAAGCAATTGTTTTTTAAATAAATTAATTTGTTTTAATATTATAGTAAAATTCCTTAAAATCACATAAGTAATTGTTATAATAAATTAATATTTTTCAGCTAATTAATTGGTTATGATCCCTCAAAATTGCAAAAATTATATTATTTATTATATTTTACGCAATCAATGTAGTGATTCATATGCATTCTAACTTATATTTTTAATATTATATGCATACAAATAACTTATAATACTTTATTCACATATCTGCAAATGCACATGGTCGAATATTAGTTTTAACTAACCATCGCATCACATCACATCTCTCCTACTTTTACATCAAATCAACTTTAATTATTTTATTTTAATATAAACTCAAAAATCTCACTAATAACTAGTTATACCAATTATTTCAAAATTAATTCTGGTTAATAAAAAAAACTTATTTTAAGTGGATATATTTGTAGACAAACACGCCATTAACGTGACACATACAATGTTGTTGTTGGATTAATTTTAATCTTTGAACAATTCATTGATGTATGAAGGCGAAAATTCTCAATTGTTTTATAATAAAATAATCATTCCATAAAATTGGAATGATTATGTAATGAAGGTCTTTTATCACAATTTTACAAATAAAAGGGTTATTTAAACAATTTCCTAGTTTGACTAGGTTACTTGAGTAAAACCACCCACTTTTATCTTCGTTATATATTTTATTATTTTATTATAGCAGCAGTGTTTTTATTTATTTTCCGTAGACAAGTTTTCTCTCTGCTGTCTGTCGGTCTGTCTGTCGAGGAAGAAAGAAGCCGATTGGAGCATTATGTCGAACACAGGTACTGCAATCCAACTCCTCCTCTCAATTACACACATATATATACATATAGATGCATATATATTTTTTTTCTTTCGATCAAGAGCCTGATTATTTGTGTATGTTCGATTAATTTATGTATTGATGATTTGTATTAGAATCGAATCCTGTCTACGGAATGTCAGGAAGTTTTCCATCATCTCGTAGATTACCTCTCAGTGCCGCTCTTGTGGTGTCCTTTCCTCAATTGGATACCAATCCTATGATACAGGTTTGATTCTCTCTATGTTTACGCAAAACCCCCAAACCAGCTGATACGAAACTGCAAATTAACCCAAAGATTCAACTTTTTTCAATTGTGTTTGTATTTTATTAAGGACAGCAGAGGCAACAAAAGGGCGAGGACGAGAATTGAAGTTTTCCCTGATTGCAATCTTGGCGTTGGACTTGGTAAATTTTTTTGACCAAACGATAGAAATCTCATTAAAAAACGCAAAACCATAACAACGTCTTACAAGCGGGAAAACCCCGAAACAGCCGACATGAAACTGAGAGCAACACAGAGGTGTGCTAAACCAACCGACCATAACAGGATTATGAAGCTAGAACAGATCACTAGGAACTTCAACATCCAAAACTAAGAAAGCATAACTAGAAAGCCAAGAGAACAACAAAAACTATAACAACCAACAGCAAACCCAAAACTAAACCAACAAATAACAAAGAGGAAACAGAATGGAACACAACTGAAATGAAAGCAGTCAGGAGGACTTTAAGCCGCAGAACTCTTGCCATTCCATTTGAGCTCTTTTGGCCACCGAGAGCACTGGCATTTTCTCCTTGCTAAATATCCAGAGATTCCTCGAACGCCATAATAACAAAGATTAGCTTTTGCATTCTTTCTAATAATACCTCTTTATTTTCACTTCTAAGCATTAGGATTTTTGTCGAGTATCAATGAAGACATATTGTTGGAGATCTTCCTTAGACTCTCCAACTGTAGATATGCTATTCAATTGAGCTCTGTTTGTCGGCTTTGGCATACATTGATCTATCAAGCCCAATTCATCCCTTGGTTCATCCGTCTTCATCAAGATCTAGACCAATCGTATACCATTCTTTTCGAATGAATGATCTTTATGGGAATTGCCCGGAGTATTATCAACTGGTTGCAACTCTTTACTCCAAGGAGTCTTTGCTTCTCCATGGCAAGCATGCATTATCATCATCGTCTAACTACCTCGATTTTATGGGGCCGATGCCCATGGTTGTAAGGGCGTCATGCAACGACTTGTTGCTTGTGTCCCCTGATTCCCGTTATCGATTTGGAAATGATCCACAGAGGTATTACATCTGTAACCCGGTGACTAAAAAGTGGTTTCTCATTCCTAGGGATCCTTTTTATGGACGTAGGGCTGGGTTTGCATTAATATGCACGCGCGGTTCTAACGGGCCATACAAAGGTGGTATTACTTGACTTTTTTACTTATGCTCATGAAACTGATGAAGTTCCTGTCGGCCACTACATACAACAAGTGCTTGTGTTTTGCTCAGAGTCACAAGACTCACAACAATGGACCAAATCTTCCTTCTTGTTGCCTAAGCGTGCAGTAAGTGACTATAGCGCTGACTTGAATGTTGTTGTGTGCAATGGGACTCTCTACTGGATGGACGGTTTATATAAACGCGACCAGGTTGTTTCTTTAGATGTGGGCAACAATCATTGTTCCGTTATTTACTTCCCGGACATTGTGCGTAACAGCACAAGAGAGGTGCTGAACTCGAGGACCCACCTTGGAGTTGTGAGGGACGAGTTGAGGTTGTTGCACGTTTTGCGGGCCTGGCCGGGCCCAAAATGCTTTGTCGTGGGGGTTTGGGAGTTGGACCGTCAGGATTGTTCGTGGGCATTGGTTGGTCAAAGGGAGTTGACTTTTTCGGAGGATGACTACGACGGCAGGGATGCATTGGTCGGTGCCGCTTTTCATCCGAAAGATTGTGACTTGATTTTCGTCATGTGCGGAAAGAGTGTCTACGAGTGTGCGGTTTCCAAGGACAAATGTCGCAAGCTCGGGGAGATTCGAGAATCTATAAGCGTCGAGGGTCTCGCGGCCTTTGTTCTCACACATCCACCGTGGCCTACGCCAGTTCCATGTTTTTAGTTGGAAATTGGTGTTCGACTAGACTCGTTTCAAGTTTCAGGATGTTTATCGTATAATTATATCGTTTTATTGTCTTGCATGTTTGTATCATATATTTTTTGCTCAAGGTTACAAAATTGGGATATGACTAATTTATGAAAGTTGGAGGACTGTTTCATTGCTATTTATATATTATGAAATTTAATGTGCAGAGGATATTATAAATGCAGCCCGCAAAGAAGCATGTGGAGAGGTGCTTAGAGGAGCCCTCGATGCTCATCGTCACTTGTGAAGGCGAACATATCCATCCGAGGTTTCCTTCACAATTGGCCAACATATGAAAATCAGTTGGAAACTTTGGTCAATTATTATGTCAAGCCTTGGAACCTAATTTGTCAGTCCTTTTGTCTTAACTGGCTTATGATTTTTGCTTGTGTACACACACACACACACATATATATATATATATGGCATGTTTATGTCGTAAGCGTATTTGGGGGGATTGGGTTGTATGTGGTATCATTGATATTTTTGAGGATTTCTAGTTTTAAGAATTTGGTTGAAAATTAAAGCAAACCAGGATATCTGGGTTTAGTTCATTGTAAGGAAGGATAGAAGTTCCATTGTTAGGATGACTATTGTTTGAGAAGTATGGAGTTTCTTTACTGCCATTTGTCTCCTNNTTTCTTTTTTTCATTTTTACTCATCTTTATCTTTGTTGAGTTTTGCTTGTTGCATTTATTATTTGTTTATATAATGGATTTAGTGATGCTGAATCACTTTTTCAGATATTTGTAATGGTACGCAAAAGACCTTCGACCGACTGGGATTCGGCTTGATTCTAGCTCCTCACCGTTTGAAAGCCTTGAGACCTGCAAAGGCTCTCACAATGGAGGGGTTTTCCGGTGAATAGTCTCCGATGCTCATATTCTTAAAAGTGATATAAACATATTTATAAATTAAAAAAAGAACAAAAATCTTCACGACTTTGATTCGTAAGAAGAAATTATAGCTTAATAGTGTGAAAATTGAATGACGATTGTTGATTGGTGTTTGATTTTGACATATATATGACGCGGTTAATGCTGCAATTTCAATGAAAAGAAAGCTCGTGACTTTTAGAACAAAGGTAAGTATTTTGACATTGAATTGCTTCATGAAAGCTCATTTGTTAGAGCTTTAACAACTTTTTTTGATTATTATAATTTATGCTATATTTATTATCTGTTAATTAAATCACCACCAACATATGAAGAAGTTTCTTGAAATATCTAGCAATATTAAATATCAATTAGTTAAGAAAATGCTAGAAAAGAAAGTGCTAGAAGAGAAAGTGCTAGCTATATTATTTTAATGTTTGTTTACTAATTAATCTACAAACTAGAAGCTTCTATGACTAGTATAAATATAGGTAGAGTGTGTGTGTGCCTTGTGTGATCAAAGAAAAAGAAAAGAGTGAGTGAGGTGCTTGTACTACAATAACAGAGTGTATATATTGTGAGTTGTGAGTGTGATACATTTGTAATATTTATTTCTATAATAAAATCACTTTGTTATATTAACTCTTGAGTGTATTGGTTCATTTATTTTTCAACATTATCAAAGTTCTAAGTCCAAAAGCTTATCAAAGCTCATAGGTTAGCTTATGTAAGTTTTATATTAATTCTCATGGCTGACCTGTATGTACGGACATATTCATCAATGAGAGTCTGTATTAGTTTTATAATATGAGTTAAAATATAGGAAAATGCTACAATCCCGTTACGGAACCATTCCGTTGAGATTGTAACCGTTAGATCATCAAGTAACCGTCAGTGATGCTTGATCTAACGATTACAAATCCCAACGGAATGGTTCCGTAACGGGATTGTAGCCTTACCCTAAAATATAACGATAAAAGTTGAAATGATTTATAAGTAGCAAAATAACGATTGATAGTTAAAAATTATGTGTGTATGAATAGTGAAATTTATTGAAAATTGTATAATAATGATTGATTGATATTATGAAATTATCTTGATGTAATTGTTATATTTATGAACGATTGTCGAGAACCATTAGCACTTATATTTGAGAATTTTATTTCTCAACTTTATTTGCTTTCTTTCTTTCTGCCATCTTTTTAAAAAATAAAACCACCATAAATATTTATAGCATATTTTAGATGAATCATTAATTGAGTGTGAAAACTTATTTACATATATATTGAGGTATTTTTTTTCGAGTGTAAATGTATCAATAACGTGACACATACAATGTTCTTGTTGGATTAATTTTGATGTTTTGAACAATTCATTAGGGGGCGATTGTCTATCATTTCTACAGTAAAAAAACTCAATCAAAACTCAAATTTAACTCAACTTTAACTCAACTCCACTATCTCCAATATTATCAATATAATTAAATAATATCACCAAATCATTCTTACACATCACATCAACTTTAATTCACTATTCATCTACTCACATAATTTTAACTAACTATCACTTCCAATAATTTTTTCCTACTTTTACATTAAATCAACTTTAATTATTTTACTTTAAACATTATTTTAATATATCCACTAACAACTAACCATACCACCTTTTTTCAAACTTAACTATAGTTAAAAAATAACCAGTTTTTTAATAGGTGAATTCATATCCAATCACCCCTTAATGTTTGAAATCTTCTGTGACACCTGATATGGGTCATGGGTCATGGGTCAGCCCATTCATATTAGCAGGCCAGATTCTGGGATGATTGGGTCAACCCGAAGAGATTGGACCCATTTTCCTTTTCATTCACTTTTTTTTATTTTCCCACATAGGAAACATGCAGTGTACCTTTCATGCAACAAGTAGAAACTTGCCCACATATGAGAAAGAAACTCACTCAAATTTCTGATTTCTCATAGCACAAATTAGTCTTTTATCATTGGCCAATGTTGAGAGTAGTTGGCTGAAGGTATAGCAGTTTAAAAAAATTATATTCCATAAAGTTTCTCAAAATTCCCTATATATAAGATGGTATGGCATTTTTTTTACCTTCATTTTTTTGTTGAACATATAGTTTTTTTTGTTGAGAAAAGGAACCTTGCACATTGCATGCTCTTAATTAGGGAGATACACATGTCAAACACACAAACCTTCTAAAAAAATTCTTCAAATACCAATAAATAAAATATTAAAAAATTCATTCTGAATTTAAGACTGGTGGTCATATGAGTTGACTACCATAAAGAAACTCGCACGTCGTGCACGGGCATTTAACATGCACTACACGATAAAAATTTAGTAGCATTACATTTAGCACGCTACAATACTAAATTTACATTCAGAATTTAAGATTTTGGTAACTCAATATGAGGTGAGTAGTTACCATAAAGAAACACACACGTCGTACACGAGCAGTTAATATGAACTACACGACAAAAATTGAATTGCGTACTTACATTTAACACGCTACAAAGATTATCATACGGCCATTACATATGAACCAGTTCTTACAACGATACAAAAATGTACAGTGAAATTTAACGATAAATAAATAAAATATTCTCACCTCATATGCATCTATCTCATAAGATTATCATATGAGCGTATGTGAAATAGCAATATACCCTTAAAATTATACTATAAATGGTGTAGCACATACTTTTCTATCTCTTACTATAGTAACACATACATTTCGATCTCATACTAAACTTTAAATACAAAGTGTCAACAACATGTGTCACATTAAAATGAACATTCAATTAAATCTTCCAATTACAAATGATGTTGATGAAGTACATAAAAGTCAACTATACAATATTGGTATCAAATTATAAATATGACACATTAGTGTCCTACCTCCAAACGTTGTCAATGCCTTTTGTTCTATGACTAGATACAAGAGTCCACTTTTTCAAAAGCTTTTAAAATCAAAATCTATATTTGGCAAAAAAATAATATATGGGGTAAAATAAGCTGCTCTTTGACCTGTTAAACCAACCCACAACTTAAAAAATAAAAAATAAAAAACTTGCAAATTTCATTAATAAATTTTGATAGTTTAAGCAATTATCCGCACACTTAAACAATGATTGAATCACAGGCCAAAAGATCTTATCCCCCTTTTCATGGTTAAATTAACACTTCGACCTTAATGGTGATTAACAGCCGAAATTTGTATTGTTAAATTATCACACACCAATAGAAAATTCGATGACTGATAAGAATACTGAATACACGCTTGATTAAAAAAACACTCCCAAATTAAAACGGATTTCGATTAATTGTCCCCCAAAAATGAGAAAATGCTGCGTTTGATCACGTTTTCCGTCACATATCCATATAGAACAATTCAAAACGGAAAAGAAAAAACAGTCGAAAAATGAATTTCTAGACCACCGCACAATTCACCGATTAGCACCTACACAAATTTCACCCTACCCGACGGCGGCGGCGCCTCATCCGGAGCCGCCCGTCAGAACAGCGGCGCCGGGAGATTCAGATCGAACAGAAACGGCTTCTTCTCGCTCCTCATCTGCTTCTCCTGCTCGCTCGCAACCACCGCTCCGACTCCGTCGATCCTGTACCCCGTGTACTCCGATCTCGCCGGCGGAGGCGGCGGCGCCAACGGCGCGGCGTCTGCGTAGATGAAGTTCGTCTTCGCCTTGGCGCCGCGGAGGCTCATCGCCGCCCTGTCGTAGGCGAGCGCCGCCTCCTCCGCCGTGTCGAAGGTGCCGAGCCACTTCCTCGTCTTCCTCAGCGGATCGCGGATCTCCGCCGCGTACCTTCCCCACGGCCGCTTCCTGACGCCGCGAAACTGAGGCGGTGGCCGAACGGCGCCGTTTTCGAGCCTTGGGACGACCATGGTTTTGGGGGCGCGTGATGGGGCGGTTACAGTATTCGATAATAAAAAAAAAAAAATGTGAGGAATAGGGTTTTTCGTGTAGGGGATATTTATAGCTGCCTCTTTAATCGCGACAGGTTTGATTATTCTCTCTTAATAATTAATTTAAATAAATTATTTCTCGATAGCAAAACATTATTTATTTATTTATTATGGCTCGGAGTATAATATTTGCAGGCTGCAGGTGAAGACTGAAGTACGGTGTTGTTTTATTTGTGGCATTAAATTGGGTTGGCGTGTGAAAATAGGTATAGATTTAAGTCAAAATTACCGGAAATCAGACCCCACGCACAATTGCACTGTAATCCATTTTTATTATTGAATTAATACACACATATCTACTAAATGTAATAAAAAAGTTGGTAATTGCAATGTAGTGGTAAGATGATATAAAGGGAATATATTATATATGTTACAAATTAATATAACATGTTTATCACATAAGACATCATAAAGCTACATCAAATTAATAGGTTCCAAATTGTGTAAAATAAGCTCATGGGTAATTAGTGAGCACGTCATCAAAACTAAGAAATTTGTGCTCGACTAGTTTAGAGAAATTGAAAGCATAAAAGAGGAAAGAAGAAAAAATGAACATGCAAGATATGGTTTGCAAAAATGGGTGCAATGTTCATGTGCCAATTGATTATATTTTTTCTATTTTGATATATATTTTTCATCATAAAATAAATTTACATATGTTGTAGAAACGAGAATCATTGTAAAAAAAATACGAATAATTGATTATAAATATAAAAGTGGTGTGATTGTAGTCGAATATTATTGTAAAAACTACTATGAAGAGTTGGTTATTTTTTTTTTCTTTNCTAATAGATTATTACGTGATATGTTTTCAATTTCATTAATTCGCCTATTAATCCAATAAAAATAGTCCATTTCATTTTATCTCTTTTTCCCCCCTACACTTTTTAATATAATCTTTAAATTAAACAATCAATCATAATTGTATAACATTAATTACTCATTTACTTATATATTATTTAATGTGAAACATTAATTACTCATTTACTTATATATTATTTATTTTGATTCATTCAATTTGTGCAGCCATCGATTTTTTGCTGTTGAATTAACATACAATATTGACATCATAGACATGGCTTAACTTCTTCATAATGTTATGTTCAATGCAACTTGTGCATTTTGATTAATTCAATTTTGTGCAGTCATTGATTTTTTGTTGTTGAATTAACATTTAACACTTTACACGATTGTCTGATGACTGTGAAATTAATCGAGTGCAATTCACACAACAAAAGGAGAGAGATTGTGTAGGTTAAGTTTCGCCGCCGGCTTATTGCCGGCGAAAATCATCAATTTTTCGAAATGATTTTTTTTTTTTCCTTTTTCGTTGGAAGAAAGAAAATGTGGTGGGTGTACGTGCGCCCACCCTAAGATTCCCTTTTCAGTTTTTCAGCATTTACTTGGAATTATTGTTGAGACGTTAAAAGTTGTTCAAATGTGGGCCCTAGTTTGTTTCATTCTGACACATACGGCTGATTTCATGTCTGCGCGGCCACACGGTCAATGCTATCCTACAGACACAGTGGTTGATTTTTGGAGACGCCATAATTACAAAAATGAAATATTAATTGATATCTATTTGGATATAATAAGATTTAAAAAAAAAAATATGGATGAGATGGGAGCTGTTAAAAACAAAATAAGGCAGGCATTCATGAATTTGGTTTGACATGATTTGTCAAGGCTCAAACTCGTCTGACTCGTTTAATTCGTTAATGAGTCGAATTCAATTTGACTCATTAAAACTCGAAAGGAGAAATTCTTGTATAATTTTCTGTAACTCATTTCGTCAAGGTTTAAATTTGACTGGCTAAGCCTCGAGTTCAGCGCATTAGCGTTGATGAACAATAAGATAAATTTGAGATTGTGAGTTAAAATATAATAATTAAGTTAATGTCATATAAAAATAATAGAATTTAATTGATAGTAATTTGTAATTAAAAATACATGAATAAATGAATAGTACTTTTTTTTATTGGATAATATATAATAACAATTCATTATTAATTTTTTATTGTGCTAGTGAAATTGTATCGAAAAAAAATATGAGATTAAATGGATTTAATATTTTTTTTAGTTTCTATTTCAATTAAATGAATCATGATAGAAAGAGACTAAACCGATAAATCATATNAACAAAAAGAAAAGAAAAGAAGGGAAATATTTGCCTTGGACAGCCATGAATATAAAAAATTAAAAATGGTACTCCATTAATTGTAGGACTATAATTTTGGTTAAATGATTATTTTGCTAATCACATAAGAGCGACCCGGTGTTGAATGGAAATGAGCACCCGTCGCCCACAACCACCCAATCTTAAGGAGTTGTATTCAATTTTACCTTTTAGAGACCTTTTAAGACTTTGAGAATTTTGGTATATTTACTCAGAACTTTTAGAGACTTTTGAAAAATTTACATGTATTCAATTGAGATTTTTAAAGACTTTTAAAAAGTCTTTAAAAGTCTGAAGGTTCAATTAAAACTTTCTGAGGGTCTCTATAAGTCATCATGTATTCAAAATAAGAAGACTTTATGAGACTTTTTAAATTGTGAGACTCTTAGAGACTTTTCTAACAAAATTACAAAGAGAAAGTCCCAAACAAAAATCTCATCAATATTGGTGAGATTTTACTGGACTTATGTGACTCTTTTCACGTTCCCTTTCTTTTTTTATTTCTAACACGACTTTGTATCTCATATCACTTTCATACTCTATTATTTTACTCATTTATTTTGATACCTTGTACAATTTTTTTTCTCATTACGTATATTTAACGTGATCTTTATTTTATATATTTTTTATTATAGTTATTTTATGTATGTATACCTTTATTATTTTATTTTGTTATCTTGTGAATTTGATTTTTCAAAGGTTAAATGTTTCCATAGTTTGCACTTGCAAATAATTGATTTGTTCTCTCTTTTTATTTGTTGATGTTTATTTTTAAATATTAATAAAATTATTTTACTTTCTAGTAGTTTATTTGTTGATATTGAATTATTTTGAATATTATTGATAACTTTATAAAATACAATAACTATTTTTCGACAATATTTGTATTTTCCATAGTTCGACTCGTTGAAATTCATATTGATTTGCTTGTTTAATAAATCTAAAATCCTAAACAATTTGTAACTGAATAACTCATTTTGCATAACAATGAGTTGATTCATAAATTTTTAGAGGATTAAAATATAAACATTTTTTTTTCATTTATTCTTCTTTATATTTATGTTTATTAATGTTTCATTCAAACATAATATTATAACTACAAGTATATAAAAGTCTCAATAAGTTTTAAAAAGTCCATTATGAAAGTCTTAAAAAGTCACTGATGAGAATTCTATGAAAGTCTCAAAAAGTCTATCAAAGTCATGAAAGTTTTACAAAATCCACAAAAGTCACTAAATTTAAAAAGTTTTAAAAAGTACTTAAGAATCTTAATTGAATACAATCCCTTTTAGTCAAAGGAGTTCAAAATTTATACTTTTATGATAAAAAAATGTGTGATCATACAAATGAGGAATTAAAATAAAATTATTATTTCAATCAATTGTTTCATGTATATGGTTACACCTCATTATCACCCAATTCAATATATTTCATTTGAATGAATATGCTCTTTTTATATATCCATATTATTCAAAATCTAAATCTATTAATAATTAAACAAAAACAAATTTTTATCAAATTGAGCTATTTTGTTTCGCATGATGTTTCTAGGAAATCCTTGCAATATTTAAAGCAAAAAAAAAAAACTCACACAATAAAATTGATTTTTGTCATAGTTATTTGCATTTAACTTGTTCCTATATGCAGTAACAAAGGATAATACAACTAATATGGGCTATAATTTAAATATTATTTTAAATCCTTTTTTTTAACTATAATAACACTGGATATTCGACTTGGATTGTACGGTCTGTAAACAACACGCATTCGACATAAAATGATTAATCTATAAATCCATCTAGATAAAAAAAAATTCACAAATCAGGTCAATCCACTATAGAAGTTCAACATACCGAGAAAGCTGCATGCCGAGCAACAAATGCACATAAACCAAGGACTTGTCGATCCACTAATGGGGTACAACTATGTGGTAATTATTGAAGTTATAAATGATGACACGACACTGACAAGACAACTCATTTGATATTATGTCGATCAAAATCCTTATTGTAAATTTAATAGTTCTTTGCTTGTTCTTAGAGTGTAAGGAAGTAAACTTTGTGTTCCCATTTGTTTATTTATCGTAAGAAGATTTCGACATGAAAGTGTGGTTAGATGCTAAACTATTTACATTAACTAATTTCCTTGGATACAATTTTTTTATTTGTTCATCTTTAACTCGTTTCAAATTTACATTTCCTTAGCCAAATGTCATCCAATTTCTTAATTATCAAATACATAGAATCGTAAACTATCAGTTATCACATCTACCATTAAAATTGCAACTATGCTCCGAGCATTATCACATAAAGCTCGAAAATTAAAGTACACTATGCAAAAACTTCTACATCGACCACTTGGCATTCTAAATGCAATATCTCACTATCATTTTCTAGGCATCGGGCAAACAAGTATTCATTAAAAAGCTTATGAAATTCCCTACAAAATGAACTTCGTTTCATCGCAATCCAAGAAATGTAGGTCAAGTTATTCCCTGATCAATCAGGCATAAAAACACATCTTAAACATACTATTCAACTCTAAAATTCCCTCAATCCATGTCCCAATCATCAAAGCGCACAAACACCGTAGATCAAACGTCCATCTAACGGTCCACATTTAAACCCCAATTCTTCACTTCGATCCGCGTCACTTGTCCCTCCACCAATCAGCTTTCTCTTTCACAATATGAACACTCAATCTCAGCTCTTTAAATTCGCCAGTTTGTTTATACATTCACTCACCAACAATTTTTCACAAATTTGCCCCAAATTCATAACCCTAATTTCTCTGTGAGATTCTCCATGGCCACTACTGAAGAACAAGCTGTCCCGATCGAGGCCGCGGCTGAGATTCCGGAGAGCAAAGAAGCACCGGCGCCGGAGCCCAAAGAGCCGAAGACGAAGAAGGCTCCTGCTACGAAGAAGCGCACATTCCCCACCCACCCTCCGTACTTCGAGGTATTGATCAATCAATCGACAATTAAATCTGTTCTATTAATTTTTTCCTGAATCTTTTTTATTTCATGAAATGGGATCTGATTTTTGCGTGGGACATGCAGATGATCAAGGACGCGATCGTCACGCTGAAGGACCGGACTGGATCGAGCCAGTACGCCATCGCCAAGTTCATCGAGGATAAGCAGAAGAATCTGCCGTCCAATTTCAAGAAGTTTCTGCTCGTCCAGCTGAAGAAGCTCGTGGCCAGCGATAAGCTCGTGAAGGTGAAGAGCTCCTTCAAGCTGCCGTCGGCTCGCCCAGCCAAGCCAGCCCCGCCGGCGAAGAAGAAGTCTGTTTCCGTCCCGAAACCTAAGCCCAAATCCGCAGGCACCAAGGACAAGAAGGTTGCCGTCTCCAAAGCCAAGCCGAAGGTTAAAACTGCCGCCGCAAAACCGAAGGCTGCTGCGGGCTCCAAAACTAAGCCGATTGCAAAGGCCAAAGCGGCTGCTCCTGTGAAGGCCAAGGCCGCAACAAAGAGGAAGGCGCCGGAAACCTCGAAGGCTGAGAAAAAACAGCCGGCTAAGGTAGCGAAGACAGCAGCTAAGTCGACTCCGAGGAAGAAGGCGGCGGCTGCGGCTCCCCAGAAGAAGGCTCCGGCGAAGAGTGTGAAGCCGAAATCCATCAAGTCGCCGGCGGCGAAGAAGGCTGCTTCGAAGAGGGGAAAGAAGTGAAGAAAGCGGTAGTTTTGTTTTAAGGGTAGTGTTGTAATTACAGAAGTGTTAAAAGAGTTTTTAATTACCCGTTTTTTTACTTTCAGTTTTCCTATGTAGCTTCGTGCAATGAATGAATAGAGTTTTTATCTGCCTTCATCCTTCAGTTTGTCCATTTCGATTCTTCATATTCTTTTGAATTAATGAAGGATGTTTCTGAAGATTATACACGATTAAAATTTAATCATGGCTTTTGGATTGGCGATCATCATGGATATTGGATTGGGACTGCTACTGTATGCTTTTTATTCTTGGTAATTTTTGTAATATATTGGTATATTTTCTAATTATTGTGTTTTGTGTGCTTAATTGTTGTTTAATTGTTGTTTTAATGACCTTATGCTCTGTAAGTAGATGGTGAGATTTTTGGAATTGCATTGTGGTTTTAATACATTCTCTGTAATTAGATTGAAAGTTTGTGGATCAAATATAATTCAGTTAACAATGATTTTTCGGCATAAATTTTGGAATCGATTCTTTAATATGGCGATTTGTATGATATTCAGTTATTACTTCACCACATTTCATATGTCAAATTAAACTACTATGTAGCTGTCAAATTAGCCTGTTAGCTAGTTAAGAACTTTTTACATTTGCAAGTTCTCAAACATTGATTTTCTCTTTTTTGAAACAAATTATGGCCATTAGTTCTTATATTTTTTCTTGCCACATTTGAAGTTTTATTTCATTTGTTGTTTGAGAAAGTTGGTCATGGTTCAGTAGCACTCAAATAACACGAAAGGAAGGTTATAAAATGCCTCAATTTAGAATCTAAAGCTGCATGAACTTGCAAAGCTTTTCACAGTTTAGTTGGCTCCCTCTCTGAAGATAAGGGCTTTGGATTTAAATTTCCTTTTGATTCTTTCTCCCCGAGCTCCAAATGGCTTTGTTTATCATCTCTCCCTTTCCTTTTTCCACTTATGCAGCAATCTCGTGATTCGAATTTTTGTGGCAATGATGCAGTTATATATTATTTGTATCACATTATCACATTTTTTATTCCTGAAATTGAAGTACTGAGATTTTGGGATCTTTTGCGCAAGATGGCATATTTCAAGCATTTTTATACATATTCATTTCAGTAGAGACTAGGTTAGACATTTGAATAGATTAGATGTTGATATACTGAGTATTTTCTCGACAAGATTGTATGGTATGCCGTTAAGGTGTGAACTGTGTATATCTTGTCACGAGTTTTGGATAATGAGTTTAGAAGGTCAGTATGGTTCATCTGAAAGTGTTTTTCAGCTTCTTGATCTGTTAGAAATTGTCGAGTCCTGAATGCTTACTAGTTTCTTGGTATCTTAATAATTCGATTCTTCATGAAAACGGAAAGTTTCTTTTATGCAGATGAAAAAGACAATATGATTTGATTAGTAGTTTCGTTTTTGTGTTGTGAGGAACTGGTTGATGATAGGATCAACTATGGTGAGATAACTTCATTGATTCTGAATATAAACTAACATTATGTCAAAGTAATTCCACATTTGCATCAGACTAAATTACGCGCATCTCATTTTCCTCGACATTTATATGATAAACAGTTGAATGAGTGGTTCCCGATTCGAGTTGGCTCATTATCTGGTCTGGTTCGAGTGGTACCCGATTTAATTACCTTCCTACCTGCCACGTTTTTTTTTTTTTTTTTTTTNCTTTTTTTTTTTTTTTTTTTTTTAAACCCTGATTATATTCTATATGGGCATATATACACCCAACTCGACTTGTTTACATCCTTAATTTCGACCGAGCATTTCGGGACTTCATTGTAAGCTATTCTTCGGCGAGGGTAGTTTCGACTTTGTCCAACCCGGTCTTTGCCATTCATATAGTAAAGACTCTTCTTGGGAAATAATGTCGAGGTTTTTAGGGCGCAGTAAACTATAATATCGGTTTCGATTGGCAAGTCAATTTTTTTACACTATTTAACTCTAAATCCAACTTAAATTAATTCAACAAAACTCTATTCAATATTATCAATAAAAATAAATAATATCAATCAATCATCTTCACACATCACATCAATTTCAATTCACTACTCATCAAACTTCATAATTTTAATTAACTATCATTTTTATAACATTTTTCTACATTCAGATCACATCAACTTTAATCCTTAAAATTTAAATTCCCTTTATTATATATAATTCCAGAACGCGCTGAGCCTAAGTGGCAGCTTTGCACGCTTCGTAATCTTATGTGCCAAAATATTATGCCTTGTAATATGCCTCGGATAAAAATTACTAATTTTTTATACCAAATCACTTAGGTTCGGATTGCCATATATATACATATATTTAATATATTTAAACTATTCCATATAAATCTATTTGTTATCCTCTTTCTATAATGTGCATATAATCTTGCTTTTCAAATTTTATGATTTGTCCATATTTTTCCCTTATGAGTTTCAAATAAATATATTATAAATAAAATTAATGATGTATATAAATTAGTTTTTAAATTAAAAATAATATTGTTAATTCACTTAGTTCTTTATTATAAATTGTTTATATTATTCCTTATTTATTTTTTCCAACTTCAACAAAATATATAAATATATTTTTTTTTAATTTTTTGTTGTATATTTAATTATTTTATCAACCACCCATGTAATACACGAGTATTTTACTAGTATAATTTAAATACAAACTCAAACTCGCACTCAATCATCCACTCTATCTACTTTATTTAAAATTAATTTATTTTAACCAATAAATTTACTCAAAATCGGTTTTATTTATATATGTAACCGTATGACTATGAAGACCCTTCATTGGGCAAAGTGTGCCTTGTTTCACAAGATGATCTGTTTCTAGGTAATGCTACAAAGACAAATCCAATCCATTGAATTGGGTCCTCCAGATCCAGTCATGATCCGACAAATGGCCCAAGACTGAATATCTTACATCGTTCATTAATGAACGATAAAATATTAAAATTTGAACACCAGTTAAAAACATAAAAGTCGCTGCTCACATGAAACACGAGCATTGTTTATCACTTTTTAAGATTCATGAATCTGTCAAATCACTATAATCGTTAGTTAGATTTTTGGCTTTTGCATTCCAACTGTGATCAGATATCGTGACTAAACACGATTTCTATGGCCTTTATTAGTTGCTTGTACTCGTGTTCCCATATCAAGTACCTTCATTTGTCTCTAATCTTCATGTCCAAGAACTAGATGTAGTTAAGATACTTTGCTTAGAAATTATTTTCTAATAAAATATGTTAATTAAAAAATTTATACTTATTTTTTAAACCATTTTTTTCCTTCTAAGATTACAAATATTGTAAAAGATGGACATAATTATTTGATTTAAATATGACATTCACCACCCGTAAAAATCGAACATATTATGCTCTATAATTATTCTAATTCATGTTACGTAATTTTAATAGATAAATTTATCAATTTTTAATCAGGATTGACATATAATTTAATTATTATTTTTTATTTTATAAATACAATATAAATGATAATTAAAAAATATTTAAATAACAATTAATTTAATAATATATCGTATATAAAATCGATAATAAATAAAATAAATTATTACTAAGTATTTAAAACTGACACGTAAGGTCGGGAGATTGAAATAGGTTTGCATTTAATATTTGAAATGAAATAGTTGTCCAAATTTAAATACAATGAAGATAAGGTCATAAAACTAATACTTATAATTTTCATAAAATTTTATGTGACGTCGTGGTATGGTGTATCATTAATTTTATAGTTATACTATGAAAATAAATAAACCTTTCTTCTTGTATGTATCCAAATATTCTCTCTCTTCACTTTACTCTCTACTTTGTTCGCCCTTCTCCAATTTCGTCTTTGGATTTCTCCTCGGTTACTGTAAAATATTGATTGATTCATCAAAAACCAAAATAAATCCAGATTTCTTCAATGGAGTGCGAATGCTTCAAGATCTCTGATTCCTAAAAAGCCCCAGATTTGTTCAATTCAAAGATTACTTGGAGTCTCCTCGTCTTTCTTCAAGGTAAAGCTCATTCTTGATGAGGGTTACATTTTTTTTAACCACAAAATTACCATAAAATCTCTGCTGATTAGCAAATACTGTTTGGTGCTAGCCTAGGATCTACAGCGTCTTCGTTAGATTTTAGCTTTGTTTTGCTAGAACCCTGATTTTTTGCTTATTAAATATATTTCAGGTCAACTCTTTTGTCTCATTTCATTTCCAATTCCCTAGACTATCTATGAATTCTTCCTTACAAATCTCAAAGATTGCGTCTTGTCTGATTCTGAGACACTTTTGTAGGTTGATTATCAGTTGATTATCCGTTTTTCAGCTCGACTTCTGACTGAGGACTTTCCTCAAACACCTGATGGGAACTAAGTTCTGGTTAAGTGAAGATGAAAAAACCCTGGTGGAGAGGATATTAGGAACAGAGGCTGCCGAATATTTCGCCTGGTCAGCCTCGAACAACATCCTGTCCGAATTCACCGCGACAGGTGGCGACCTTGGAGTTCACGACACTCTCTGCAAGCTGGTCGAGCAAGATCCCGACTATGCCTACGCCATTTACTGGCACGTCTCGAAATCCAAATCCGGCAGATCTGCCCTCATCTGGGGTGATGGCCACTGCAAAGACTCGTCCGAGAAAGATATCAACCGAAACTCGCCGGAATCCGAAAATGGCCGAAAATGGGTCCTTCAAAAGATCCATTCTTGCTTTAGGGGATTAGAGGACGATAATATTGCCGCTAATCTGGACAGAATCTCGGATCTCGAGATGTTCTACCTCACGTCAATGTACTTTGCTTTCCCCTTCGACAAACCCTCAATCCCATCTCAATCGTTCAATTCGGGTCGAACCATATGGGTCTCCAACCCAAAAAGCTCCTTAGAAAAATACGAGTCGAGGTCTTACTTAGCCAGCCTGGTGAATTTCGGGACTGTCGCTTTTATTCCTTCGAAATCGGGCGTTATCGAAATCGGATCGAGAAAATCCATACCCGAGGATAGGAATATTGTCCAGATGTCGAAATCGATAGTTGTGAAGCCGAGCCCTTCCCAGCCGAAGCCTGTCCCAAAGATATTTGGGCGGGAGCTTAACATCGGGCCCGGGCCCGGGCCAAGATTGGGCCCGAGTAATATAATCAGCTTCTCTCCCAAAGTTGAGGATGGCTCGGTTTTTTCTCCCGATTCGTCATTCGACCTGCAACGACAGGTGTATGGGAATTCTTCAAACGGGCTTAGCCCGCAAGAAATCGAGCAAGTAAAGGAAGATTCTTTCCTATTGTCCGACGAGAGAAAGCCCAGAAAAAGAGGCCGGAAGCCCGCTAACGGGCGGGATGAGCCGTTGAATCATGTTGAGGCCGAGAGGCAGAGGCGTGAGAAGCTGAACCAGAGGTTTTACGCTTTACGAGCAGTTGTGCCGAATATTTCGAAGATGGATAAAGCATCCCTTCTTGGGGATGCGATTGCGTACATCACGGACCTTCAGACAAAGATTAGGGTTTTGGAGGCCGAAAAGGGGGTTTCGAAGGAGAATGAGTGTGGCCCAGTTTCGGATTTCGATTTTCAGGAGAGAGAAGAAGATGGGGTTGTGAGGTTTAGTTGCCCGATTGAGGGGCACCCGGTTTCGAGGGTTTTGGAAGTGTTAAAGGAGGAGAATTTGATGGCCCATGAGTCGGTTATGAGGATAAGTGACGGTGGTGAAGTTGTTCATCATACGTTTACCGTTCGGGCGGATGGTGGAGTTAGCGGTGAGGATTTGAAGGGTAAGTTAAGTGCTGCACTCTTGAAATGATTTCTGTTGGGTGTAATTGTATATGATAGTTGCATCCATTTGAATCTTGTGCTTTGTTATGATCATGATGACTTAGGGTNGCAATGTTGTTTGTAATATTGTTTTCTTTAGATTTGTATTCAACATATGGTCTAGGGGTAACTTATTCCCTTTTGCTCATTTGAGATGGAGTTTTGTTTTTGATCGAATGGCAAAAAAACTCGATGCCAAGGTACGAGTTTTCCCTTTTCAGGAGGGATGTTTGAATGAGAAAGAAGCTATATTCACTGGGAGGGATGTTTGAATGAGAAAGAAGCTATATTCACTTGGTTTTTACGATGTCTGCAGATAAATATTTCACTTCTGTTGGATTAATTCTTTCCCAGCGACAGTAGATTCTGATTGAACCATCTACTGTTAAGCAGAGTTAAGCAGAGATTTACTTTGTTCACTGTTTTGTTTGAAGGATTGATAGAATCTTGGTTTGAACTGAAAATAGGATGTGTTTGCAGACTCTGAAAACAAAAGCTGGAAAAATGAAAAATCACACTCGAAAGGGTATTTGTGTGTTACCAAAAGTTGGCTTGCGCTTCATTTAATCGGTTGTTCTTGTGTTAGCTCATCTTAACCATTAGTCATACGTACTTATTTTGCAAATTACAATTTTCATTAAAACCTGTCATAGTTTAGAAATGAATAAATAGAAATATGACATTTGTATAACAATATAAGTATGTATGTTTATTTAAATGATATGTCGATTTACATAACGATTTAGACAGTCTCACACAAGACAGTCTCACACAAGAATTTGTTCATAGGATTTACATAACGATTAGACAGTCTCACACAAGAATTTGTTCACAGACCTCACACAAGAATTTATTCTCAGGGCATTCCCAAATAGAGGAACCAAAATATATTGATTTCGTATTGACACATATTGGCATTCGCATCATCCGGAGGGCATTCCCAAATAGAGGAACCAAAATATATTGATTTCGTATTGACACATATTGGCATTTGCATCATCCGGGCAACTGCAGAATTTTTTAGTTAATTTTTTTATATAAAAAATTTATTTATCATTCTAGACATACATATAAAAGTGAGAAACAATTAATTTTTTTTAATTAAATTCTATAGAGGTCATGGGTGCACCTTAATGAGGTTCCATCCCAAAACCAATTGGTGATGGAAGGAGTAGCCCACTAAGCTCATTTACCCTATAGAATCAATGTGGGACAACTCACAAGTGATATTCTAACAGTATATGGTGAACTGTGATTCATGCAATACAACTTTATTAATATTGCCTCCCATAATAGTGTATTATAATTTTGAAAAATGCTACAATCCCGTTACGGAACCATTCCGTCAGGATTTGTAACCATTAGATCATCATGTAACTAATGGCGGATCCAGGAAAAAATATTAGTGGGGGCACATTAACATTGTCAAGTATTGAAATCATGATTTTTTTTAAAAAAGATAAAAATAAAATTTGCTAGTGAAAATTATCCTCATATTAAACAAATATTTTTCTCATACATTCTTATTGATTTAATAAGTAAATTGGAGAACAAAGTTTTGTAAACACATATTTCTAAGTATGATATAAAAGTAGAATTTTAAATTTTCAAATAATTTATCTGTTCTTTAATTTTTTTCCTTCAAAGAAGTCATTTTTTAACTAACATATATAACCTCTTTTA